GCTGAGGTGGTTGGGATGTCACCTGAGGGTCAGAGTTTGAGACAGCGTGACCAACATGGGTGAAACCCCATCTGCTACCAGAAAAATACAAAATTCGGGCCAAAGTGCAGTGACTCATGCGTTGTATGTCCAGCGCACTGGGGGCCAAGGCAAGCAGATCACCTTGAGACTCAGGAGTTCAAGACGAAGGCCTGGCCAACAGTGGTGAAATCGTGTGCTGCTTACTAAAAAATAGCAAAAAAGTTGGAATGTGTGCCAGCTTTGGTGGCATGGGACCTGTACTCCCAGCTACTCGGTTGAGTCTGAGGCAGAGAAGTCGCTTTGAAGCTCGGGAGCGGAGGTTGCAATGAGGCCGAGATACACCACTGCTGCACTCGCAGGCTGGGAGACAAAGGAGTGGAGACCTGTCTCAAAAAAAAGAAACATAAAAGACATCTCGGCTTGCTGGCATGGTGGTTGGCGAAGCCTGTATCCCAGCTACGTTAGGGGAGGTGGAGGCAGGGAGAATTGCTTGAACCTGGCCGGGGAGGCGGAGGTTGCAATAAGGCCGATATTGTGCACTGCATTCACAGCTGGCGGCAACAGAGCGAGACTCCAGTCTCAAAAAAAAAAAAACGAAGAAAAAAAAAAGGCAGTGGTTGGGACCACAGGTGCTATGTACAAGTTATTTTGATGAATGGAAAGAAGGTATATTACCACGCCTAGCTAATTTTTGTATTTTTAGAAGAGACGGGGTTTCACCATGTTGGTCAGGCTGGTCTCGAACTCCTGACCTCGTGATCTGCCCGCCTCAGGCTCCCAAAGTGCTGAGATTACAGGCATGAGCCACTGTGCCCAGTCCCCTTTCCTAAAACAAACCCCCTTTTGGCCTAGGGATCAGTTGGCGTTTGTAGAACTAACGAATTGCGTCAAGATTAGAAATTATGGTTTAGGGGTCAACAATCACAATTGGCCCCAGGCAGAACCTGACTCAACTCACAAGGACTGTTTATTACATCCCTGTGATGTTATACCCACCCAATATCAGAAACTCTTCTAAAGAGAAAAGAATGACACAAAACATCTGCCCTTCTGGAGCTTACATTCTAGTAGAAAATATTCACAAGATAAATAAGTGTATTCACAGCATGTTAGAGAAGAAGTGATAAGGAGGAACAGAAAGCAGGAAGAATGGATAAGACATGGGGCATCATTTTTTAAAAAACAAATCTTGGTTTTCTAGAAATATCTATTCTAAAATACCCCATAAAAGACACTTTTCTGTTTCCTAGTCTTCTTCTTTCTCTTTGACGTAGCTAATATAAAAGGATATTTTCATCACTAATTTACATTTCACCCCAATATCCAGACAATACACCTTCTATGAATCTATGCATTCACAAGTTGCTCATCCACACCACCTCTCCCAGTGGCAGAGAGTCCTTGATTTCCATTCTACACTTACATTTTAGAGTTATCTGTTTTCTGCTAACCACTCAGGAAAAGTTTGAGACTAAGAGGTAAAGTTGCTGATACTGAAAATCTTGCAGGCACATTTTCTAGGAGGCTACAGCAGCACCCTTGGGTTCCTCTCTGTGATTTAGAAAGTGTCTTATCTGGTCGGGAGCAGTGGCTCATGCCTGTAATCCCA